TCTTGAGCACATCGTGAATATCTACAAATCTATACATACATATACCTTTATAAGTGTATTTTTTTAAGTTCCCTAGCTCTAGACATCTAAGCACTTTAGTATTTAATGTTACGTCTGCTAATCTCATAAAGCTCCTCAGATTTTCTCTCTGATTACTTTTAATATACTCATACAATATCAATTTTAAACTAAATTCCAGGATATCATCGCAACGCACACTAAAAATTGGAGCAGTTTGAGGCTTTATTTTTAAGAATTTTCGCTTTGAATAAAAAAGAAGAAAGAGTGCTTGGAAAAAAAAGAGATCTGGACACAAAGCGAGGCTCGGCAGCGCCACAGCCCAACACTCAACCACCGAGCAGCCAAGCACCGCCCAACACCCACATTGTGCTGTGCGATTTGCATGTGCAATTTATGCTTTTGATGGTCGTCGCCGCCGCCGTCGTCGTCGTCGTCGTCGTCGTCGTTGCCGTCGTCGTCGCAGTGCATGTTAATGAAAGGCAACTGCAGATGCAACATTGCGCCCTCTGCTAACGGCGCAGCGTGGCATGGCCGAGTTGTCATGAGTCACAAAAGCAGCAGCAGTAACAGCGGCAGCAACCGGCAGCGGCAGCGGCAGCGGCAGCAGCAACAGCAACCGACAGCCGACAGCAGCAGCCGCACATAGCTGTGGATGCTGCTTGGCTGCATGCATATTGGAAATGCGAAAAGTTCAAGGATTGCTGCTCGCCAGCGTCGTGAGTTTAGATGCTGTGCAGATTGTGCTGCGGCAGTCATTTGTTGGTTTGCTGCCGCTGCTGCTGCCGCCGCTGCTGCTGCTGCTGCTGGCCAGGTAACCCAAAAGAGAACCAGCAGCAACAGCAACAGCAACAACAACAGCAACAGCAGCAGCATGGCAACAAATGCCACGGCCTAGGGCCAAATGCTATGTGGCACATGAGCGAGCAATGTGCACTACTTAGGTAAATACACACACACACATGCATATACACCTACACAAATACATGTTGAAAAGCCAAGGGAACTGAGCTACTGGGCCACAATAGGAGCCACGTGTAAAAAGAATAAATGAGAAGCGCATAGAAAGCACGCAGCCGGCTCATATGAGAAGCGCATAGAAAGCACGCAGCTAACTCATATGAGTAAATAACGAAAGCCAAAAGGAAACAAAACCTCAGCAAATCAGCTTGATTAAAAATTGCATGTAAATAAATCAAGCTGAGGACATTTGATGTGAATTGATCAGCGTAAAGACGAAGTTTCTATACAGGGCTGTCCATATTCGAGTGACCCACCTGGCAGCCTTATATCTTCAAGTGCAAAGTTAATAAAGCTGATGCAGAGCTTCATCTTTTATGCATATGCACATACATATAATTTATATAATAATTAAATACAAATACATATATGTTTAGTCAATAATTAGATGAGGTAACTTTACTCTCTCATCTTCATTCAGTTAATGTCTGTTCTTTGCCTTTGGATACCTTTGTAAGACGTCGCTGCAGCCTAATAACGGTTATCCACGCAGTGCACAAGACTTTGATTCGCATTAGCGTCAAGTCAATTAACAATGTTTGATAGCTTTGGCCAATGACCAGACCAGACCAGACCAGGCTAGGCCAAGCCAGGCTAGGCCAGGTTGAGACCCAGCCACCCCCATGGCGTCGATTGGCTGCGCAAGACTTGTTGCCTTTCACTTTGCCGTTCGGCGTTGCTGTTGTTGTTGKTTGTCGGTTGCTTGTTGCAAGTTGCAAGTTGCAAATGCAACTAGCCATGTTGCTGTCGGACGGTCGGTCTGTCGGTCTGTCGGTCTGGCTGGCAAGTAAGCAGCCATTCATCAGGTTAGTGCGCTCGGCTCCCGACAGCCATCCAATTAAGCTATAAAAATCTTAATTTAATTATTTGCCACACGAACAAAGCCAGAACACACACTCGACACACACACACACACACACACACACACACACACACACACACACACACACGCTCATATAAAACATTTGCCATTCACATTTGCAGTCGCATTCACATTCGTATTTGATGCAGTGCAGCAATGCCGTCGACAATGGAGCAGGCGACGGAGCCGTCCGTATACGACGATTTATGGCGGCCAGTTTTTCTTCATTTGCTGGTGGCACGCGGAACTAGCAGCACGGGCAGCCGCGGGGGCCAGGCGGCATGCATTTTTCATGAATTAGTTCATATAAAAGTCAAATGCACAAAACGCACGCTGCCAACTTGGCCAGCCAGCCAACCAGAGAGCCGCGTTGGCAGAGCGGGCCATCTCGTTTGCTGCCTGTTGCCAGACGCAGGACTTACAACCACCGACCCACCGACCCACCAAACCACCGAACCACCATCCGAGGGGCTGCGTCTGTTCTTGTCGCCACATAAACAGATTTGTGGCCGCAACACAAAACATACCCAAAATAAAATGCAAGAGCTCATCAAGCACGAGTTTAACGACTCGCCAGCTACCCTGTAGAAGCTTTAATGTATATGCAGCTGAATATATATAGCTAATATTGCTAATGATGATGTGAGCATATAGAAAGGCTAACTGATTTGTTAGTTATTGAATTTGCATCAATTGAACGACTTATAAGTGTACAGGGTATTGTATAGGGTATTGCACAAAGTATTGCAAATAGCCGTTCACCTGTATATATATATATATGTAAGTTAATTAGGGAGCTTGACCTACAATTGTACAGGGCATTGCACATATTTGAAATGTCCATTCAGATATATTCGTAGGCTTATTAGGCAAATGGAAAGGAGTTCTGAGCAGAGTCCATGTACAGCTTTGTATAATGGGATGGGACTATATAGAACAAGTAAGAAAGCTCTAGTCGAGACTGCTCGACTACGAGATCCCCTGAACCCTTGGAGTGCTAGCTATTTCAATAATTTTTCGCGTCTTTCAGCTTACACAAGAAACACACACATACACAAACACATACACA